CTTTTGAGCTATTCAAAAGGGTAGGTGAGGATTGGCTTTTGATGTGTGGTGTGCATGGATTTAAAGTGCCATGCAGAAGGCTAATCAGCAAAGTTGAAGCTCAAGCCATGAATATGCAGTTGCCTGAGTGACAGGACACCAAAGTTTTATATTGCACTGGTGGTAACCCCACCCTCCAGGTTTAGTAATTGGTGGAGAGTCCACGCAGGAAAGGAATGGCTGTCCCACTGATAGCTGATATACCTGACACATAGGAAGATAGTCGTGGTTGTGGGAGGTCAGTCATCTCAGCTCCAGGACATCTCTGCAGGCGTTCCTCAGGGGAGTGTTCTAGGCCCAACCATCTTCAGCTGCTTCATCAATGACCTTCCCTCCATCATAAGGTCAGAAGTGGGGATATTTGCCGATGATTGCACAATGTTCAGCACCATTCGTGACTCCTCAGATACTGAAGCAGTCCGTGTTCAAATGCAACAAGGCCTGGACAATATCCAGGCTTGGGCTGATAAGTGACAAGTGACATTCGTGCCACACAAATGCCAGGCTATGACCATCGCCAATAAGAGACAATTTAACTACTGCCCCTTGACATTCAATGGTGTTACCATCACTGAATCCCCCATTATCAACATCCTGAGGGTTACCATTGGCCAGAAACTCAACTGGACTCACCACATTGGCTACGAGAGCAGGCCAGAAGCTGGGAATACTGCGGCGAGTAACTCATCTCCTGACTCCTCAAAGCCTGTCCACCATCTACAAGGCACAAGTCAGGAGTGTGATGGAATACTCCCCACTTGCCTGGATGAGTGCAGCCCCAACAACACTCAAGAAGCTTGGCACCATCCAGGACAAAGCAGCCCGCTTGATTGGCACTACACCCACAAGCATTCGCTCCCTCCTCCACCGACGCTCAGTAGCAGCAGTGTGTACTATCGACAAGATGCACTGCAGAAATTCACCAAAGATCCTCAGACAGCACCTTCCAAACCCACGACCACTTCCATCTAGAAGGACAAGGGCAGCAGACATATGGGAACACCACCACCTCCAAGTTCCCCTCCAAGTCACTCACCATCCTAACTTGGAAATATATCACCGTTCCTTCACTGTTGCTGGGTCAAAATCCTGGAATTCCCTCCCTAAAAGCATTGTGGGTCAACCCACAGCAGGAGAACTGCAGCGGTTCAAGAAGGAAGTTCACCACGAGCTCTCAAGGGCAATTAGGGATAGTGAAGAAATGCTGCCCAGCCAGCGATGCCACAAAATGAATAGAAAAAAAAAGCTGACAGTCGATTGGCTGAAAGTATCCTGGAGGCAGGATTTCTGCCCCTGCTAGACACAAAGCTGCTGCCTGTTCGATGGTCGGCAGTCACACCAGCGCCATGGAGGAGCAGTGGCCACTGTTGGGACTGCAGGTAATCCTCAATAGCAATAGTCACTGAAGTCCAGCATCAAGGGAAGAGGGGACACTTTCAACAAGCCTGGGCTCACAGGCCCCAGTGAATGGAGAGGAGAACGCGGTAGTTGGGGGAAGGTGGCCGCAGGGGGTTAGGGGTAAATGTGCTTTTTTTGGGATGCTCTAATGGGTGCACTGGACCCACAAAGATATTTCCCAGTTTCTCTGATAGCAGTCACCCCCAAGCATGACTTTCCCATTAATTGGCTAGTTAAGGGGTTTCAATGAGCCCAGTTGTGGGTGGGCCATGGTGCGGCCATGTACTGGATGTTACAAAGCACTCCCCTTCCAACATACTGCCAGAGCAGCGCAAAACAGACTGAAATGCTGAATGGTTATTTTTCAGGTTGGTAGCAGATGTACAGTGTGGTTGCCGTGACTCAGTACTGAGATCTATGATATCTCCTGATCTATAATAATCAATAAAATCTGCCTACAGTGCACTATGTGCAGATCAACAAAGCTTGAAGGTGTTGAGAACTATGAGGAGGATAGAGGTAGATTTCACATGAGTTAGTGAGATGGACAGACAGCTGAACTATAATGTAGGGAAGTGTGGAGTGTCATATTTTGATAGGAAGAATGAGGAAATATTGAATAACAGGTACAATTGTAAAGGGAGTGTAGGAACAGAGAGCCCTGGGTATGTATGTGCATGGGTAGTGAAAAAGGCATGCGGGATCCAGGCTTTCTGAATAGAGGTAAGGAGTAAAAAGCAAAGTTGTTGTGATAAATCTTTTATATGACACCACATTAGGCTCAACTGAAGTATTAGGGCAGGGCTGGGCTGGAAGGAAAGTCAGCAATTGTGCAATGGACTGAGAAGTCTGCCCCAGAGCTATTACATTCCGTAGGGAGTAGATGTGGGGGTGCAGAGTGGGACTGCTGCCTTTAACTGGGGGCAGTGGGGGAGAAGGGAATGTTGTGGCAGGGTGTCCTACATTTTGTGGATGCAGGCCAATCAATTGGCTAGCAACTCCAGCAGATAGCAAGTTCTCCCAGGCCAAAGTTTCCACTGGATCCCAGATCCAGTCTCAAAGTTAGTGTCATTGTGTGAGTCCAAGCATCATGGGAAGGTGGGGGTCAGGGTGCACAAGGGTAATCAAAGTGGGAGGAATGGTGGATTCTAAAGTCCATTTGGGGGAAAAGGGGTCACTCACTCCAGTATGGGTGCCCCCAGTTCATGAAGGAGAATCCTGAAGGTTGCACCCATTTCTTCCCACCTTTTTAAAAATGCATTACTACCCACCTGCCCACACCAGGTATGTTCAGGTTTGATATCATATTGTGGTCAATTTAACAAGGTCAATTGACCTGAAATTATTAACATAAATTTGGTGGGTGGGCTGCCAGTTTTGGTGCTTAATAACCACCCCTCCCCCATGTATTTTGTGAGTGAGCTCAGGGATGTGTGAGAATGTATTGTCTAGGCCCAATCTACTTTACATGTCCTCCCCACTGAAAACACCAATAGGGCGTATTTAAAAACCAGCCCTTTGTATCCATCATGCTTTGGGAAGGATGAGAATACATTAGAGAGGGTCCAGAAGAGATTTACGAGAATGGTTCCAGGGATGAGACTCTTTAGTTCCTTAAATAGACTAGAGAAGTTGTGATTGCCTCCCAGAAGAGAAGATGATAATACCCTAGTGGTATTATCGCTTGACTATTAATCCAGAAATTCAGTTGAGGACCCGGGTTCAAATCCCGTGACGGCAGGTGGTGGAACTTGGATTCAATAAAAAAAATCTGGAATTAAGAATCCAATGATGAGCATAAAATCATTGTCGATTGTCGGAAAAACCCATCTGGCTCAACTGATGTCCTTTGGAGAAGAAAAGCTGTCTCATCTTGTCTTGTCTACACATGACTCCAGACTTGCAGCAATGTGATTGACTCTTAACTGCCCTCTGAAATGGCCTAGCAAGCTACTCAGTTGGATGAATCGCTATGAAGTCTTAACAAAGAAACAAAATCGGACGATCACCTGGCATTGACCTCAGTGCCGGAATAGACAATGGCAGAAACAGCCCTGTCGACCCTGCAAAGTCCTCCTTTCTCACATCTGTGGGCTACAGCAACAGCCTGACATAGTCATACCCATGGAATCATACCTTACAGACAATGTCCCAGACACCACCATCACCATCCCTGATATTTCCTGTCTCACCAGCAGGAAAGACCCAGCAGAGATGGCAGCACAGTGTATACGGTCAGGAAGGAGTAGCCCTGGGAGTCCTCAACATTGATTTTGGACCCCATGAAGTCTCACGTCTTCAGGTTAAACATGGGCAAGGAAACCTCCTGCTGATTTGCATGTACTGTCCTCTCTTGGCTGATGAATCAGTACTCCTTTATGTTGAACAACACTCGGAGGAAGCACTAAGGATGGCAAGGGCACAAAATGTACTTTGGGTGGGGGATTTCAATGTCCACCACCAAGAGTGGCTCGGCAGCAGTACTACTGATTGAGCTGGTCAGGTCCTAAAGGACATAGCTGCTAGACTGGATCTACAGCAGATAGTGGAGGAACTAACAAGAGGGAAAAATAAACTTGACCTCATCCTTATTAATCTGCCAGTTGCAGATGCATCTGTCCATGACAGTATTGGTAAGAGCGACCACTGCACAGTCCCTGTGGAGACTAAATCTTACAACTTTGAGAATATGCTCCATTATGTTCTGTGACACTATCACCGTGCTAAGTGGGAAAACTTTGAACAGATCTAGCAACTAAAGACTGGGCATCTATGTGGTGCTATGCAGCAGAATTGTACTGTAGCATAATCTGTAACCTCATGGCCCAGCATATCCCCCACTCAACCATTACCATAAAGCCAGGGGATCAACCCTGGTTCAATGGAGAGTGCAGGAGGACATGCCAGGAGCAGCACCAGGTATATCTGAAGATGAGGTGTCAACCTGGTGAAGCCACCAAACAGGATTACTTGCAGCCAAACAGCATAAGTAGCAAGTGATAGACAGAGCTAAGTGATGCCACAACCAATCCTGCCACATCCAGTCATGAATGGTGGTAGACAATTAAACAAATCAATAGGGGAGGAGGCTCCACAAACATCCCCATCCTCGAGGATGGAAGAGCCCAGCACAGCAATGCAAAAGATAAAGCTAAAACTTTTTGCAGCAATCTTCAGCCAGAAATGCCGAATGGATGATCCATTTCGGCCTCCTCCAGTGGTCCCCAGCGTCACAAATACCAGACTTCAGCCAATTTGATTCACTCCATGTGAAATCAAGAAATGGTTAGAGGTACTGGAAACACAAAGGCCATGGGCCCTTACAACATTCCAGCAATAGCACTGAAGACTTGTGCTCCAAAACTTGCTGCTCCCCTAGCCATGTACAGTTACACTACTGATATCTGCCCAACATTATGGAAAATTGCCCAGGAAATTTCCAATCCTGCCAATTACTGCCCTATCAGTCTCCTCTCGATCATCAGTAAAGTGATGGAAGATGTCATCAACTGTGCTATGAAGTAGCACCTGCTCAGAAATAACCTGCTCAGTGAATGAATGAACAATGTTCACTGAATGATTTTATTGTCACGAGAATTTTACAGGAAAAAAAATACAGTAACACAGTGAAAGCTTCCATTGTTGCCACGATTCTGGTGCCATCTTGAATAGTTTAAGAATAGTAATAAAAAAAATATAGTTAAAAGACAGTCCATAACCCTTGTGCCTCCACTTCGCCGCTGCCAGCACCAGAGCCAACTCACTGATCTTCAAACGCCATCTTTTGCCGTTGGGTCTACCTCGTCAGGCATCACCTCCTCTGATGTTCCAGCCAATACTGGGTCCTGTGCTTGCCCCTCTATCAGCCATCGCCTCACCACCATCCGCCAGGGTCCAGCTCTGGGCTCACCAGCTGTCACCACGCTCCAAACTCTGAGGAAGCCGCCTTCTTACTGCCTTCCACTTGCCACATTGCCATCGCTGCTGATGCCACCACGACCGAGCTCTCCCCAGAAGGTAAGCAGAAGCAAAAACTAAAAAGAAAAGAAGAAAAGAAAGGAAAAGTGGATTGAGTGGATGAGCCCTGGGCACAGGAGCCTGGACGCTGCCTACTCCACTGCCGCCATCTTGCAAAAAGTAGAGAAGGCCATTTGGCTGTTTGAGTCTGTTCCATCAGAAAGAGTGGAGTTGTTCTTACGGAGAGCCAGCACAGACATGATGGGTTGAATGGCCTCCTTCTCTGCAGTTACCGCACTATGATTCTCTAGAACATAAAAAGGCAAAGTCACCCTAGGGCTGGAGACAGAAGACAACTGGTGGTAGTTTAATCTGAGGGTCACCATGCCTCAGGTGAGGGGAGACATTGAGAAGGAGGATCCTTCACAATAACCTCAGCCAGTGCAGGAATAGAATGCATGCTGTTGGCTTCATTCTATGTCATAAAGCAGCTGTCCAGCCAATAGGAATGTGATAAAAGAAATAAGCCATTCATCTTGAGCCTATTCTGCTATCCAATAAGATGGTGACTGATCTAACCCATTCAGGTCCTGTTAAACTACTCATTGAGATTTGGGTTGAATTATAGCCCAGCTCCTTTGTTTCATATCTCTTTGTATGCACCGACTCTTTGCTTGCAAACAGTATTTGCTGGAATTATTGCTGTGAAATCAATCATGACTTATAAACACAATGGCAATATTTGCTGAAACAAATACATCAATCACTTATATATCTCGATTACAAACTGAACTAAAATAATTCCCTTGGAGACAAAAAAACTGCAGATGCTGGAATCCAAGGTGGACAAACAGGACGCTGGAAGAACACAGCAGGCCAGGAGGCATCTGGAGAAAAGGAGCAGCCAATGTTTCGGGTATTACCCTTCTTCAGGACTCTTTCCCTCTTTATTCCAATATAAGGAAGTGTTTGGCAAGGTCAAAAGCTCCATTACAGTGAGCAATAACCTTTTCAACAAACCACTCACATGATTTTCAGTTCAGTTAAAATTTGATCAAACAAGTTAGGGTGGGTTTTTTTTTGACAATTCCTCACCCTCCTGCAACCTGATCAAAGCACCATTGATCAGAATCTCTGGGCCATCCTGTCAAACAACCAGGGTTCGGTGGGCGGGGGATTGGTTAGACACAAAACCAATAAAAAGGTTATATCTGAAAGAACTGCGGATGCTGTAAATCAGGAACAAAAACAGAAGTTGCTGGAAAAGCTCAGCAGGTCTGGCAGCATCTGTGAAGAAGAAAATCAGAGTTAACGGTTTCGGGTCTGGTGACCCTTCCTGCTGAGGATTATAATGAGATAACAAGGTGTAGAGCTGGATGAACACAGCAGGACAAGCAGCATCACCTGCTGTGTTCATTCAGCTCTACACCTTGTTATCTCAGATTCTCCAGCATCTACAGTTCCTACTATCTCTGAGGATTATAGTGAGGCCCGGTATTAAATTCAGCAGGATGATCATGTCCGCAGCCTCGTCAGTTTTTCTATCCTACACAGCTACCCTCATTATGAAACCTTAGACCCAGTTTCTTCCTCCAGAGATGCTTCCTGACTTGCTTTACGTTCCCCATTCTTGTTTCTGATTTCCTGCATCCACGGTTTTTTGGTTTTATTTTAAAGGAAACCAAAGCACTTTGTGTTCAAACAGAAAGTACAACTCCTCAATATTTCTCCAAACATGAAAGCACTATCTCGCCCTCAGTCTGAACACTGTTTCTTTTTCCCCCAAGTTCCTTCACGGGAGCTTCGCCCATTCCATCTTGTCCTCGAGAAGGTGGTAGTGAGCTGTCTTTATGAACCGCACCAGCTCATTCGGTGTAGCAATAGCCACAATGCGGTTAGGAACAGAGTTCCAGGACTTTGATGCAAAATTCTTCCAGTTCTTGTGTGAGAAAACACAGAATTTCAGACTTTGTGGGTAACTGGTTACTTTGGAAGAAACTGCTTGTGAGAGATGCATTGACTGAAAGGATGATAGAAATGTTTAATTAAAATTGTCAAAAGGGAATTGTCCATATACATGAAAAGGAGACCGTCATGGTGCTAAGGGTAAAAAGATGGATTGTGGCATTAAATCTTTTCAAACAGGCAGCGCAGATATAATGGGATGAAAATTATCCTTCTGGGATATGGAGTATGAAAGGAGGCCAGTCTTGCCACTGTTATAATGGGAGTGGGTGAGACCACACATGGAGTACCGGTACAGATTGGTTACCTTCCTAGGGTGGAAGAGTTGTCTTTTGTGGAATGGTTGCTCATGTTGGGCCATTCCCATTGGATATTAGAAGAATGAGAGGAAACCTTGTTTAAAAAAGGTACAGTCCTGAGGCGGGCTTAAAGGGAAGGTGCTGGGAGATTTTTTTCCACTTGTGGAGGATTCTAGAACTACTGGGAAGCAGTTTGAAAACGTGGTCTCCCGTTTAAGATAAAGCTGAGGAGGAATTTCTTCTGTCCGAGGCTTGTTGGTGTTTAAAATGCTGTTCCCCAGTGAGTGTTGGAGGCTGGACGATTGAATATAGTCAAGACTGAGTTAGGTTGATTTTTGGTCAGAGAAGGCAGGAGTGACGGGGATCAGGCAGAAGAGTGGAAGTAAAAACACATTAGACCAGCCATGATTGTACTGGCTGGCGGAATAGGTTCAACGGGTGGAATAGTCCACCTCTGCTGCTGTGGTGTACTGTGTGAGTGTGATACCAATATCAATGTAAATTCAGCATGTCAGGTAGTTATAATGCTGAGCATTGTGAACTAGTGAAGATGAAGGTTGGTCTGTAAGCCTACCTCAGAGCAGGCAGTAAGAGGGGCTGTGCAATTAGTGGTGAAACTCGAGCTGATTCAGTTCCGCAGTGACAGAGCTGTTTGAAAGGACAAGCAGTCATCAAGTGAGTACCCGAACGTAGTTCACACAGGAGAGATCTCACCTGGGCATTGCTGCCTTCAGTGGGAAACCAGGGCTCTATTTTAGACTGGATCCCAATGGACAAAAGTGACAGTAGCGAAGTAGTTAAATAAGAATGGACTGTAACCTTCTCCGATTCGGACTGAAGAGCAGGGTGAGTGAGTAGCGTTATCGGGTTTTAAAACACTCAATTTGAAGTGTGGATCCCACGAGTGAGTGCAGCGAGAGGAGTAAACAGGGCTGCTGGATGCAAATGAGGGTGTGGGGAAGCCAATAGCGTGAGAGTGAGCGCATTGGTGTGGGGAGAGCGGGCCAATGGGAGAGTGTGAGGGGCGGGGCTGCTGTGATCGGGTGTGTGTCCAGGTGAGTTTCTGTTCTCAGTGCAGGAGACGGTCCTGGGAAAGGGGAACCTCATCCTGAGCCTGAGCCGCTGGAATTGACCTCCTGCCTCTCACTCAGCGAAGATGTTGCAGGTAGCGCTGCTCGATACTATGCTTTCCTATCTGTATCATTGTTTGGAGCAGATTTTAAGCTCAGTCATTATTAACGGTCATATCTCAGTGTATGCATTTTTGTTTTTCTTTGAACATTCCTGATGCCTTCCCTGTGCTTTGCTCATTGACAAACCATTCTTTTAAAAAAAAACGAATGTCTCAGCCATGGTTCAGGGACGTAAAAAGCACTGCAGCTGAAAGTGGCAGGAATTTTTAAAAAAAAATTCCTGACGACCTGACCCAGGGGCAGTGTGACACCATTACCCTTCAGAGTGAGGACAAGCAGAATGCAAAAGCTGCAACCGACAAATCTGAATAGATTTTCATAGGAAGATGGGAGGATATATTAGGATCGCAAAAGTTTAGAGTCTTATGTTTTAATAAAAAGGTTGCGAATAAGGACGATCCAACCCCGCGAGCAGAAAATGAAACTACAATCCAGCAGCAAAATCTGTGCTTGAATTGATGTTCGAACAGTGTTTACAGTTATAACGTTACCACCGTTAACGGCTTGCATTTATGTAGCACCTGAGAATGTCCCAAAACGCTCTGCAGCCAATGGAGTACTTTCGAAGCATTCTCTTTGCTGTAAATTAGGAAATACAGTCGCCAGCTCACATGCAACTAGCTGCCCCAAACAGCAACGTGAAAGGTGATCAGATAATGTTTTTGGTGACATAATGAAGGCAGAGTGCTGCAGGTACTGGAAATCAGAAATAAAAAAACCCAGAAATTGCTGTTGGGTGGGTCTGACAGCATACGTGGAGAGAGAAACTGAGTTAATGTTTTTAGTCTATTAAGACTCTTCTGAAGGATTGTGAGGATTGATTGGCAATGTGAACTTGAGGTGGAAAATCAGCCATGTATTGAATGGCAGAACAGGCTCATGGGGCTGAATGGCAGAACAGGCTCAAGGGGCTGAATGGCCCAGTTTTGCTCCTATTGAAAATACTGTTCTGTAACCCACAAATGCCCAAATCAAAGGTTGAGAGTGCCACCTATAGCTGAACTTTGACCCCTGTCTCAGGGTCAGTATTGTCAGATGACTGCTACAGGCAAAGGATCTAAATGTGCCTGAGAATCATTATTTACTGGCAAAGTGTGGTTTGGTGCTCGTTGAAATGAATGCTGCAGTTGCTGAGGTATCTTCCTTTGAATGCACAATGCCACAGTTGCCCCAGTTAGTCAGGCTCTGTGGGATGGTGATGAGCAGTGGCTAATAATTGAAACAAATGGCATTCCAACTCTCCTGTCACCAGGAGTGATTTATTTCCATCATGAGGCTTGCTTGCAGTGGTACATCTGTCAACTTACTTGTATTGTGATTATAAATGTGGCTGTTTTGACGATGATGCAGCATGCAGCAAGTTACCTGCCTTTATTATTGATTTATTTGATTTATTTATTGCCACGTGTCTCTTGTTACAAAATACAGTGAAAAGGGTTGACAGAACTGATCAATGCGAGGTACTTAGTGTGTCTCAGCGAAATAGTGGTTTATTTTTAGCAAATCAGAGTAAGTAAGGGTGGGAGGGTTACCAAACAGTGCAGTTTGCACCTGCTGGCTGTTCGTCCTGTTGCTGCTATCTATCATCCTCACCGAAGAGGGACCCAGGGCTGAAAATTACATCTTCAATTCCTGGATATTCTGGGAATATCTGGGAAGGTTTGCAATACTATCCAGGACTGAATTCAACTTGACCGATGCTCCGAACTGAAGCAAACCGCTAAAGTTCATCTGTGTCATGTTCCGTTGTTGCTGCTGAGGATATTCTGCATTATTTCCCATCTGGAAGGGTTCTGTTTACTTTGACACAGTCGTCATAGTGATGTCTGTGGTAACAGTAGGATCTGTGTTGGTGAGGCTACCGGAGCAGGCAGGAGGGTGTGGCGGTGGATGAGGGGCAGGGTTTGGGGTTTTGGCAGCCATCAGGTGGAGAGACGAGACTGAAAGAGTTGCCAGGAATCCAGGGGTGGAGGCTCTGCTTCTGGTGTGAGGCCTTTACCATCAGTAGAGGAGGTTTACTTAGCAATGGGTGTTGCAGGAGCTGAGTAATGATTTCAAAACCTTCAGCCAGGTGATGGTTTCTCCTCCAGGCCCAACGATGTAATTGGAGCACAGTCTGTATTTTTAGAGAAGGACCCCTATCCTTACCTAGAATCTGAACTTCAGGCTGAGCAGGTTAGTTGCATTTGCCTGATATTGAATTTGCTGCCTAATATACCCCCTGTCCATAAACCCTGTCTATGGAAAAGAGAAGTGAGGAGAGATTGGTGACTAATTCACCATCACCCACTTTAAGCCATCACGCAATGTTAAAATTGCCCCCACTGTGTTAGTACCAAAGCTGGGATTTGCTACTCTGGGCCTGTACAACACCATTGAGTCCTTAGGAGAAAGAGTCACCAGAGTGCGAAATTCAGTTCACCTCCATTTATTTTATTTCTGCCTCTAATGATATCGAGGTCTTTGTTCTGATCAACAGCTTCATAAACACCAAACAGTAGTCACACGAGGCTCTACTGGCATAGTGGTAGTGTCCCTACCTCTAAGCCAAGAGGCTTGGGTCAAGTCCCACTTGCTCCAGAGGTGTTTCATAACATCTCTGGTCAGCCTGATTAGGGAAAAAAATAAAAACACCAACCACTGTGAAGTCTTGCTAGACCTGACTGTGAGCGGTAAGTTAAGCTATAATATTATAAGCCTGACTGTGTGCTAGCACCGATGTCTGGCAAGGTGTTCTGTCCTTAAAGCTGAAGACATTGACGTGGCATAGTCCAGCTAGATTGAATAACTGTTCCTGCAGATTAAATTTGACATTGTTGTATTTTCACTGAAGCAGCCTAAATAATCAATTAAAGACCGAAAGAACTGCGGATGCTGTAAATCAGGAACAAAAACAGAAGTTGCTGGAAACGCTCAGCAGCTCTGGCAGCATCTGTGAAGAAAAAAAGATCGGAGTTAACGTTTCGGGCTCGGTGACCCTTGCTCAGAATCAGTTCTGAGGAACGGTGACCGGACCTGAAACATTAATGCTGATTTTTCTTCATAGATGCTGCCAGACCTGCTGAGCTTCTCCAGCGACTTCTGTTTTTGTAAATAATCAATTATTTGGCTGAATGGATCCTATTCTTACAAGCAGTACACTAAAGAAAAGCTCACACTTGTCCAATAAGCTTTAACTTTAACCAGCGTCCACACAAAAAAGGCACCATAGTTGCAGAGGGCAGCTGTCTCCTTTCAAGAGTGCTGACTGGTGGTGCCTGAACCTGAGAGTGAGGGGCAAGGTTCAGAATAAGGGGCCTTCATGGTAACCTCAGCTGGGGATATGGGAATTGAAACCGCACTGCTGGGGTCACTCTGCATCACAAACCAGTCATCCAGCTAACCAGCCCAAATATTTTCGAATCACCCTGATCAGAGATGCTATTTGACACCTCTCGAGCAATGGGTCTTGAACCCAGGTCTCCTGGCTCAGAAGTAGGGACACTACCACAGCACCACAAGCGCCTACACAACACTGCGTGATTGATCACATATGTCATACTTGGTAACTTATGGCTGAATAACTCTTGTTACTATCACCAGCAGTGGCAGGCTGACTGACCAACCACTAGCATCACCCGAAAGGTGTAGAGTTCTGATATTTGCCCAGACTCACGGAAGGACTCTACGTGTCGTGTTGGATGTTTTCTGATTTATTCTTTAGATGTGGGCTTCACTGGAAAGGTCAGCATATATTGCCAATCCCTAGTTTCCCTTCACAAGGTGATAGTGTTTTTTCCCCTGGAATCACTACATCCATGTGGTGAAGATGTTTCCACATTGCTGTTCATTAGGGAATTCTAAGGTTTTGACCCAATGATGGTATTGGAATGATTTTCCGTATATTTTGAGGGCACGGTAAAAACATTGCACACCCAGTTTTAGGGTGTTAGGGATGTGCTAGTGACGACATCGAGTTGAGTTCTAGAGAAAGTGGTGTTTAGCTGCAGCCAAAAGACAAAAGATAATTCATTGCAATGTAAAAGCTGGGAGTTCCCATCCCTTTTATGGCAGTCCTTATTTCACAGTAACTGCTCATTGTTCTCGATACTGACAATGGCTAGAATCTTGTAGTGTAAACGGTGCATTGCTGTTCCCTCTACATAATGTAAGAAGCATTTCTCGGGCTATTTTAAAGGTAAGGCTTATTGAATAAAATGTTTTGCTGTTGCTGCTCTTGTTTCATCCACTTTGTCCTGGCTTCACTAATTTGGTTTTCGGAATTACTTCTTTTTTCAGGAATAATGGTCTTTCCGCTATTACATGGGGCATTTAGATGAGCTCTTACTCTCAATCCTGGCTTTGTAATGATTTGCTGATCTCAGCCAGAGCAGTCAGCAAAGTGACAATGGTACTTAGAAAAAGGAGTACGTTAGAAATAAGAAATTGATGGTGTCACACTGGAATAAATAGATCAAATTATCTGTTGAGGACAAATGATAACAGAAGATGTAGAAGTTAGAAGAAGGATAGAGACAGCCAGAAGTAATTTTGTGAAAATGAAAGTTCTGTTAATAAGATAACTCAACTCGAGCTTATAAAATAGAAAAAAATGCTCAGAGGTGCTATATTCTATCCACTTGAGCCTGTATGCCTCAGAATCCTTGACAATAAATAAAGATCCGTGAAAGAAAATAGTGGCATTTGGAAGCAGATGCAAAGGTGTATTTTAAGAATATCATATCACAGAATATAGAGAGCATCAGACAAATCAGGATTTTAAAATTACAAGAGCAAAAAGCCATTAAAAAAGTGATATCCAGAAAAGAAAATGTCAGTATTTCACCCATTTGATCGAAGCTGAAAAGCAATCTCTCCTCGAAGACAGAGAGAGGGGCAGCTGAAAGATGGATTGTGATGGCACAGTTTGCTGTGGATGTCATAGAGCAATTACAGATAAGCTGCAGTAGATGTGTGAGGACAGCATAAGACA